TATATATATATATTTTAAACAGTTTATTTATTTGTATATAACTCTTGCTGATGTATTTTTCTGTATAGAATAAATATATATATAATAATATATTTATATATATTTACCTAGAAAAAAATCTTGTACTCTTTACCTAAAAATTAACTGAATATTTTATTATTTATATTTTTATCTTTTTTTTTTTTTCTCTATCCAGAAAACGATAACTATTTATCTGAGTAACATATTTAAATAACATGTTACTATAACGAACAAACTTATATATAATTACAAATACACTTGTTTTATTGAAACATACTGATATAGGATATAGCAAGTAATAATACTAATAAAAATAATTAATAACTTTTTTTGTTTTCTGTATATATATATAAATATATTTTTATTTTCATTACGGTATTAAAATTCTACACAAATCTATATCTATAACTTTGCCCATTTTTACCTAAATAAATAAAATTTAGGTTTTTTTCCCCCTCGTTATAATTTTTGGCCTCGATTTCGGAGACCTTTATTGCTCTGGGATAAAAAAACCTCTACTTTATAGTCTTCTTCTACGGCCTTCATCAGCGCTACCACACATGCCCCGTACTGCGTGGTAATGCAGTTGAGTTTGTGTATGTTGTATGGACGATGATCAAATCTCCGACGCTTATTTTCTCTACAGCCGCATCTGCCATTATTCGTGCCTTGAATGCATCCATACTAAGAAAATGACGGTATACATATATCTCCACCGTATACCGAGGTGTTAATCTCGAAAATACTTTAACGGCAGCAGCAGCAGCAGTAGCAGTATAGAATTAATGTTTAACGTGCATATGTGGTGTTGTTGCTCATTATATATTATTTGAAATAATAATAATAATAAAAGATTAATATGTGAAATAGACTAAACGGGTGAAAAATCGAAAAAAATCATCGTTATCGGCGAGGGGGGAACGACGCGAGCGGATGATAACATCGCCGCCGCCGCCGACCGTTGATAACGAGCCGGGTCGGGCGGTTTGTGGCGGGGCGGTGATCGCGGTGGCGGACGGGGAAATCTGATCGTGATGTAGTGGTGGCGATGGCAATTGCGGCGGCGGGTGGGGAAATCTGATCGTGAGGTGGTGGTGGCGATGGCGGTTCCGTAAAGATCACAGGTTAAGTACTTAATTGACACTAATTGGGCAATTAACCCGTTAAAGGTCACAGGTTAAGTACTTAATTGACACTAATTGGACGTAAAAGATAATAAAATAACCCATTTAAAACAAACAATTAAAACCGATCATTTGAATTCCGAAGAAAAAGAGAGCGTTATAGCGCTAGTCAGTGATTATGCTGATTTATTTTATATGAACGGGGAATATTTAACCGCAACCGATATCGTCACTCATAGTATCAAAACACCACGGTATACCAAACCAATAAATTATCGTCCATATAGACTTCCGTGGAGTTATCAAGCGGAAATAGAGAATCAGGTCAAAGCCATGAAAGACAATAACATTATTCGTAACTCTACGTCACCATTTAATTTTCCACTCGTAGTAGTGAAAAAGAAAAGTGTAGATCAGGAAGGGAAACCTAAACTGAGAGTATGCGTAGATTTCCGAAAATTAAACGAAATAACTGAAAACGAGACTTACGGTCTTCCAAATTTGGTAGAGATACTCGAATCACTCGGGTCATCAAAGTATTTTTCGACACTCGATCTTGCATCAGGCTATCATCAAATTAAAATTGACGAAAGCGATGTTCATAAGACCGCATTTTCGACAAAATCCGGACATTATGAATATTTGCGTATGCCTTTTAGGCTGAGTTCAGCTCCAGCTACTTTTACACGGGCAATGAAATCAGTTTTAATGGGATTAGAAGAAATGTGTACTGCATATCTCGATGACATAGTTGTTCACGGTGCTAGTCTCCGTGACCATCAAGAAAAATTGACACAAGTGTTTGATAGATTAAGATTACATACTCTTAAATTACAACCTGAAAAAATGCACGTTTTTAAGTAAAGAAGTATTGTATTTAGGACATGTAATAAATGAATCAGGCGTTTCGCCGGACCCAAACAAAATTCAATGTATAAAGAATTATCCTCGACCAAAAAACGCGAAAGACATAAAATCTTTCTTAGGGTTGTTGAATTATTATAGACGATTTGTAGATAATTTTGCGAAAATTGCCAAACCTTTGACTTTCCTACTAAAAAAAGATACTAAATTCAATTGGACAGACAAATGTGAAAATGTTTTTGTCGAGCTTAAGAAATGTTTAATGAACCCACCTTTACTTAAATATCCAGATTGGGGAAAGGGAAATTTTAATTTAATGACCGACGCAAGTCAGTTCGCAATTGGGGCTGTCTTGGAACAAGACGACCATCCTATAGCATACGCGAGTCGCACTCTTAATACCGCCGAGATCAATTATAGTGTAATACAAAAAGAACTTTTAGCCAATGTCTGGGCAGTTAAATATTTTAGACCATATTTATATGGCCAGAAATTTACTATAACTACGGAACATCGACCGTTAACATATCTATTTGGTATTAAAGACGCGAGTTCACAACTAATGCGTTGGCGTCTCCAACTATCTGAATATGATTACGACATAATATACCGGAAGGGTTCAGAACATTCCAATGCCGACTGTTTATCACGTATACACATGATTCAGGATATTACTAATAACTGAACATTTGATAAATTTCTAACCGCGGAAACAACTCCTATTTTTAATTCGAAAATAATCGATATCGACGACAGCATACAAAATAGTAATGACCATGAAAACTTATTATTACTAATTCCAAAGAACGGAATTGTTACGCATCCCGCAATTAGACAAATTATACAGGATAACGGAATAACGGGGTCAGTGCCATTCACGCATAAAACTCCTTTTATCATAATAAACAACGATAAACGAAAAATAATATTATACGCGTTTAGAGACACGCATTTATCGAATTTTTCCCCAGAACAAATATTTAACACTCTGATCGACATACGGGACTATAACTAACAATATCACGAATTTTTCCACCATTCGAATAGAAGGAACAAATTCGTTAACCAGTTACGAAAGAATTCGCACTATGTTCCGATACGTTTTTAAAGCTATGGATATATCTATCTGTATATATCACGAACGTAGTTTCAGTAACGAAGACAAGAAGAAAATAATTTATGAATACCATAATACACCTTTAGGGGGTCATTCTGGGATATCTTGAACTATAAAGAACCTTAAACTTACATACAACTGGAAAAATTTAAAAAAGGATGTAAAACGTTACATTAGGAACTGTGAAGTATGCCAAAAAAACCAAAACTCATAAAAACGTTAAACAACCAATGCTAATAACTACCACCGTTACCAAACCATTCGAAAGAATTTGTTTAGACATTGTAGGACCATTGCCACAAACTACAATAGGTAACATGTATATTTTAACCATACAAGACGAATTAACACGTTATTCATTAGCAGTAGCATTAGGGGCAACCGATGCGCAGACAGTAGCGCGAGCTTTCGTCGAACGTTTTGTCTGCATATATGGGATCCCCACGTCCATTTTAACAGACTGTGGTACTAATTTCCTATCTGACGTTTTTTAAAAATATGTGCAAATTACTAGATATAGATAAGTCCAAGACGACACCTTGGCATCCGCAAACTAATGGGTTTTTGGAAAGGTCACATAAAACACTAAAAGAATATTTACGAAGTTTCGTGGATAAGGATAATGAATGGGATCAATTATTAAGTTACGCCATGTTTTGTTACAATACTACCGTGCATACATCCACAAACTTTACGCCCTATGAATTGGTTTTCGGACATAAATCAATTAAACCAACTGTTTTCTCGCGACAAACCGAGCCACAATATAATTACGATGATTATGTTTCGACTTAAAACGAATTATGCAGGAAACGCACGAAATAGCACGAAATAATTTGATAGAGAAAAAAAGAGTCAAATAGAAAATACTACGATAAACATACCCAGGAAATACAATTGCATGGGATAGAGTTAACATGGGGATAGAGTTTTAATAAAAGAGCACAACAAAAAGAATACGTTATGTTTAAACTGGTCGGGACCGTATGACGTTGTAGCGATACACGATAACCAAAACATAAGCATCCGGAAGGGCAGACGCGATTATCGCACACACATAAACAATGTGAAACCGTATCACGAATAAATATATGTAAACAACAGTGACCTATTTATGACGATTTATTATTTACAATTGACAATGACCCTGTTTCAGATGTAACCTTATCGAAATGTTTATTCGACAAATTGTTAAGAAAAATTACTTACAGAAAACTCATAGAGTTCTTTTAATATATATATATATATATATACATGTATATGTATATCTTTTTCAGAATTTTCCTTACCTTACCTCTGTTGACTTTTGCGACAACAGTGACCCATTATACTGATAATAAAACTTTAGGAACCATCGAACAAGAGCAATATAATTTTCTTTTTAAATTTTATACATCCATGAGTCTAATCATTACTCAATATTTAAACGAAATAGATACCTTATTTACTATTTTAGAAAATGCAAAAGTAGGTCAACTTCACCCTTACTTGATAGGACCACAAGAATTACTTGACCAATTTCAAGACATTAGATTATCTTTACCAAAAGATAGGGACCTACCTTATATCCCTACTTTGGACACGGTATATGACATTTTGAAACTATCAGATATTGTAGTATATTATTCAAACGATAACTTGGTATTTGTAATAACAATACCTTTA